ATCGGTGTTTGAACACCGCTGTCTACGCTGCATTGTACGATCCTGTTGGTGAGTCAGACGAGCAATGCTGAGGTAAAGTGCAGAGTTTTAGGGAACCGCGGTCGTCCACCGGAGAAAGTGATTGACCTCCATAGATTACTTTGGTCTGGGGATTTATTACGCATGTCATCAAATAGGTTACCACGGTGAGCGATGTTTGCCGAGGCAGACAGTGGGTGGAGCAAAGCCAAGGGTGGTGAAACCAAGACCTATTGTATTGTACTTTCTATAACTTTTGCAAGCGCTGGAGCTCACATTTCAGTTAAAAATCATACATACCAATCGTCACGAAGAACATAATCAACGGGGAGAAAATTTTCACAGACATGGGGTTATTCCATAATTCAAGATTAAAACAAAGTTCACTTATTGACCTCTCTTTGTTTCTGAGTAAACGAGCAGGATTCGGTATAGGTGAATTGCGGTAATTTTGAATGTTATAGTGCTAATGTTAATGTCATTATGTTTCAGAATTCGAAATCTGAATGATTACTTGAATCTCTTACTGCCAAACCCTATTCTCCATGATGTTACAAAGATAATCGAATTGCGGTAAGCGTTCATTCGAGATGCGATTCGGCGGAATTGGGAGCATGTCGAATGATGGGAACGACGTGTCAGTTCTGCGTGCAGGATCTGTGAAAATCCTATCCGCCAGTTTCGCACAGGAAGTTACGTGATACTCTGAAAGCATTACAGCTAAGTCGTTCACAGGAATAGAAGAGACACGGCTAATACTAGTTATACAGCGGTGTAAGACTTTGAAATCCTGTGTGAGTAAGTCAGGAAAAATAACTGTGGAATAGCAGAGTAAGATGGGGGGAAACACACGGATAAACAAAGGTAGAAATAACTGACTGGGATGAGCCGGACTGCCTGACCTTTCTTATTTGAAATGATAGGCGCCCCAGTTTACCAATGCAGTTGTGGATGTGGTTTGACCAATGGAGATTTTTACCTATGGTTACAACAAGCTATCTGATAGTCTACCCCAGATAAGGGATTATTATTAATCACTATGGGGTCTGTCGGATATAGAGAGCAAGCAAAACTCTATAAACACTCAGTACATTTACTGGGGTTTGCGGTGAGCCTCAATGAGTAGGAGAATGACTGAATTTGATCAAGATCGTCGGTGAAGGAGTAAGAAGTGAGAAGAAATGGAATGGCCCAGCACGACGTCATCTGCATATTTATTGGTATCACCAGCCAAAACGTGGTCGTGGTCCTGGTCAGGTAAGGGAAAGAGAACGTGTGATATTTATGGGGTTGCTCACTGTCTAGACATTTGTCGATGGAGGACTTGCCAGAAATCAGGTCACTGTGATTTGTACTTTTACTCTGACTCACACGTATCCAGTACGATCGAGAAAATGCCGACACATTCGCAAGTTCGCGACTGATCCCAATCCGGTTCNCCGGTTCTGATTCATACAGTGAGAACTCTCAGAAGGTTAGGCTTCTCCTGACAAGGAGAAACATAAGGAATATCGCAAATATAAGTTGAAAATAAGTATGGGGATAGCACAGCTCGTTGAAGAACTTCAGAGTTGTTGACTAAGGGTATATATATCTGAGGGTAAATTGAGACGCAGTATAGGGAGACGAAAACAGTCTGATGAATTACTAGAGTAGAGCCAAGGTAACACAGATGTTTCTCTGTTATCAGAGGATGGGTTACCGTCGCTTGGTCGCAATTGGACGTAACCTTTACCAAACAGATACTTCTGTATAACTTGTTGTGAGGGTCCTGATGATTTATTGCTACAGATGACGTAAGAGTTTTTTGTATTCAATTTGCATTTGGCTGTTGTTGCGTCATTTTTGCTGTGCGGAATTCACACCGAGACCCAGTCCGGAATACATAGTGGCCTCTGATCATAAAACTGCTCAGTTGCGAACGCAATCGACCGTGCTTCTCCCCCTTCCGGTCGGGCTCACTCGGTCTAGAAGAACCGGATGTCAATATCCAGTCAAAACATACTTCCTCATTTACAATGGCGAAGCGAAAATGTGCACAATCGTTCCGATTGTTCGATTCTTAAACTNACAATCACTGATCTCGATCTAATCCTAGCTTTTCTTACTCTGTACAGTAATTAAAATGATTTTTCTAAAGTCCTAATGCACACGATCCGGTAGTTATTGAATATCGGAATCGATCGCGACAGAATTTTTATTTGCTCTGACCATTCCGAAGATGAACATGAAAGTGTGACAGAACGAACGGGCATTCACGAACCAGATAATTTGTAAAATACAATCCACTTTGGAATATGTTCGGTCATGCGCTGTGCGAGCTGATGGCATGCGTCACCGCAACTGCAGGTGAACTGGTATACAGTGTGTGAGACGGAACTGGTTTGCCAGCCATTCCATGTCGTTTTTCGGTAAACTGAGTGTTGTAGTGTCTCATTTTTCAGCCTTGTAACTTTTATGTCCAGAAAAGCTAGTGTTGTTGTTTCCGTTTCATGAAACACAGATAGATGTGGATGAACGGAGTTAAACTGTTGTAAAATGTTTTACAATGTTCATCATCTGTCATAATGAAAATATCGTCCACGCAACGTTTATACGAGATGGACTTGGAAATATTATCACTCAGTTTTTCCCCAATCATTCCCAGAAAAACATCTGCCAAAATTTGACCCAATGGACTGTCCTTTGCCACGCCATAGATCTGTTTGTATGTGGTTCCTTCAAACTCAAGACGAATGTTTTCTGTACATATAAGAATAAGTTATCTTAAGTATTCAAGAGTAATATAAAGTTGCAAATTACTTGAAAAAATATAATCACAAAACATCAACTGTTTCATAAAGTGGTACATTAGTAAAAAGTGAACCCACATCTATTGAATACACTCTCTGTTGGGATATTGTAATAGTATCCAAAATATTAGAGAAATCAAAAGAATGCTTCAACCGACAATTGATGGCCAAGCGATTACAAGAAATCCAGGGGCGTCTGTTGCAAAACATCTGATGGCAACAAGACACACAGTTGACCCCAATTCGTCTTTCATACCATTATTACGTAATCGCAATGCTAAACGTTTGGCGATTAGTGAAGCACTGCTTATTCGATTACATCACCCGACCTTATGCGCACAAAAGGTTTCATACAAGCAATCCACCTACCGTGGGGTTGACCTTGCACTTGTAAATTTAGTACTCTTTATATGCTTGTACACGTTCGTTCACCATAATTGATTAATCCCATGTGCTATATATGTGCCCCTTTGTTTTAAGTAAGCGATTGAAAAGATTAGCATCTCGCGACATTTGTCGTCTTTCTGTTTTGATGAAATGGATTAAGGGAACTCAATGCTTCAAAATGCAATCCGTTTGCTGGGTTGTAGATTACTAGGTCTTTGCTGTGAAAAAATTACATGGATCTTTACTCGCTCTCGCTCTCTCTGAGTGACCCAATCACGCGTACGTGAAGCGAGGGTTTTGATGTGACCTTTCTCCATGGAATCGAGTATCTCATCGGATCCCGCCATATTGTTCACACTGGGTTCAGGCAGTTGCACTGGCTGAACCAGTCTTTTTGACGAAAGACAAATATGGACCTACCAAACGGAGCCAATCACCTCTGTGTCCCAACCTGAGTCGGGTTCAAGTGGATGCAGAGGGTGTATTCTCCACACCACATTGGACAACGTTCCCAGATCGCTTTTTTAACCGGAGTCCATGAGATGATCCAAGATTGAAATAGAACTACAGTACTAATCTTTGTCTCGACCATTCTTCCTCAACGCGTTGTGAAAAATGTCTCATTTTATAGCCTGTGCGAAGCATCACAGGTGTACTTCTTGGACGAGTGAAACCTCAATTGTCTGTATCCTTCAAGATCAAGATAACTAGGTAGTTACCATTGATCCAAAGCAAGGGAAACTAGGCGTCAATGAAATTCGAATGACTAGGTCTTCCCCATACAGTGATCCATGACCGCAC